CCCCAAAACCCCAAAACCCCAAAACCCCTAAATTATATGCATAAGTTGAACTTTTAACTATTTAACTGATGTTTCGATTCCTGCTAGATCTTCTACCCAGTGAATTATTTATCTTCCTCAATGCTCTTTTATCTTTGTAACTCGCAAGAACAAATGTGCCTGAATTTCTAGAATCCGATCTCTGACGATTTCAAATTCTTATCTCTGAGCTTGATCTTGATTGGCTGTTTTGAGGGTGGGGATATGATGGTATAACTTTAATACTTCATTCTGGACTTTCTTTCTGCAAAGGTAAGGATTTATTTGGATCATTATGACTTGTAATTGTCCTGTTTTTCTCAAAGGTTGTGTTTAATCTTGGAATTTTATTTTGATTAGCTATTTATAGTCCAAAGCTTACCATCTAAATTTGGATCTTTTCAAACAAAGTTTGATACATATTCAAGCTCAATCGTTCCAACTTTTGTTGTCCTCACATATCGAGTATTCTTGCTTGCCTTTAAATTTTTCATCATCTCTGGTTTATTTCAAATTGACTTTAGGATTTTGGACTTCTGTAGATTCATCTCAAGAGGCATCAATATTTCTATGTTTAAGCTTTTGGCTTACTCATCTTGAAATTCTTCTTTAGCTAGTGATTTATCAATACCACCCTCAAGGTGCCCCAAACTCTTCTTTTTATTGGATAAATTGCTCATCTTTGCATTGAGATTTGAGCTAAGCTTAGCAGTCCCTTCACTTGTAGGATCATCAGGTCTCATTATTGTGACTAAAATAGGCTGGCTACTCTCTGTTAGTCGAAAAACTTTCTCATTTTTAATGGATTTATTTATCTTTGCTGATTTGTCTTTCTCATCAGTATTACAATTATTTAGTTCTAAAATACAAACTACCAATTACTCATTTGTTCAAGGTGTTGTGTACTATTAACTAGAGGGAGTCTAAATAAAGTGTAAATTAGTTTGAATATAAAAATTACTCATTTGTTAAGTTAGCAATTCTATGTTCTAAATTATCCTTCAGTTCTTTCAATTGAGTCTTAAATGCTTTATTCTCGTTAATCAACTGATTGATCTTCTCTTGCTGCTTATTGAGTATTTCCATAACTGTCGGATCTACTTGGTTTGGGCTACATATGTTGTATTTGTTTGAATAATTTGACTCTATATTTAAAAATTTGAATTTTCCCACAAAATTTTGGAATAAATTTTACTTTTCGGAAACACCAAGCAACTGTTCTGAGCATAAGATCAGGAAGTAGTGTGTTGGTCAGGTGTGGCTCAATGTTTTAGCTTCATCTGGTTCGTATATTTTCCTTGGAATGATTTTCTTTGGCTCTTCTTGTCTTTCCTAAACAAAGATCAGGAGTTGATGTACTTTGGTTCATTTTCTAATTTCAAGTCTGAGTTCAGAGATTGTATGTCCATCGTTGTATTCTGTAAATATTCTTCCAAGTGCTTATAATTATGTTTTATTGGAATGCCTAATCCTTTTGGACTTAATTCACTGCTTAAGTAAATCCTACTGTTTGGTATTTTCGCTAAATGCTTCAGATAACACTTTACTGCTCAGTGATTGGTTGAGTGTCTTTTCTATTCAGATTATTAGATTAAAACATCAACAAATTAGTATCACAAAAGAAACCTTGAAATAATAAGGCTTTCATCCATGAACATAGAAAAAATAAAATAATTACCTGCTCCTTTGTTATACAATTGAGAAAGAGTATTCCTTGTTGAACCATTAGCATACTGTTTCAAAGACTGAGTTGGTTCCTGATTTTTCCTCTTTAATTCTTGAGATTTCCTCATTTTTATTCAATTATAAAACTTCCATATTAACTTCCAAAATAGGGGTTTTGGGGTTTTGGGGTTTTGGGG